TTTCAGAACCATACACGTAGTTTTAACATGCTATGTTGGTCATACTGATTCGTCTTTGACATCTTGATTTAACGTCTTTTTTATTTTGTGGTTATGTGTAGTTCTGGCGCCGCTTTACTGTTAATTATTTATAATAAACATTGAAACATAGATGTTGAATAATTGCTGAATGTGATTTGTATCAAATAATTTATATACGTAAAAGAATGGCTTCTGTTCCGTGTAATGGAAAATATATTTCAAGAATCGCTAGCACAATCAGACAAATAGTGATTTTGCAAAGTTTACAAGTGATAATATTTATAAGTGTTATAAATTTTAGATTACTCTACCCTTTAGTTTGGCTGAAGACAATTGTTGATAAATGGACATCTGGTGTTTGTTGGTTTATCTTTCTTATTAAATGCAGTTATTCTTTTTGGATTCACCGTAAGATATAGCAAGAATTATTCAACAAATTATTCACTAGTTTCTTCAAGATTTGAGAAAATCACTAAGTTATTTTCAACTAATAGTCAAATATTGATATTAACATCGATAATATTGGTATTACGAATTCTTATTTGCATTTGAATCTGACTGGGTTGTCGGGCATAAGTGATGATGAATTTGTCAACTCGTTAGAATCAAGAAAATGCTTGGTTATATGCTCTGGGCCTTTTTTTGCACTTTTTTATTTTATCAGGCGCAACTTTAAAGATGAGATCATTGAATTGCCTATTATCCACCAGTCTGTTAGAATGCAATTATCTACGAAATTGAAATACCTCATCTATGATGCTGGTAAACTGTCTTTGCGTTCGCTACCATTATATTTGATCATTTATATCATATTTGGTTACAAGGCACTAGAGTTTTGGAGCATTCTGTTTGATGCCGAGAATAACTTTGACATCCTTTATTGTTTAGAAAAATACATCATTGTATATTTATTCACATTTGGTACATGCTTTTACTTTACATTGTTAATTATACATGAGCTGTTCATATTAAATCTAATGCAACCGATGGAATTTGCTATTGATCCAGAAAATAATGTGGATAATGATATGCTATTGAAAGATGCACTTAAGTCTAAGATTCCTTTAATCAGAATGTTGGCTTTCCAAGATTTATATATTTTAACAGAGAGAGTTCCTGAAAGAAGGAAAGAAATATTTGCTATAACTTTTCCTGGAGGCCAAGGCAAAAACTGGAATGAAATCTCAGGGGAATGTAAATCTGTACTCGAAAAATTCATTGATGGCTTAATGAAAACATATCCAAAAATGACATCATCAAAGTTATCAGTTGATTACAATTCTCCTAGAAATCGCAGAGTGAATTTAGAGCAATTACTAGAAACAGTTAACTATAGAGCTTATCCTAAGGAGGTCTTGAATGAAGAAGAAGTAAAAGAAACAGAACCAACTTTTAAGGAAATTATTGTAAAAAAGGTCACGAATAACCCATTCGTAGCTTATTTATTTGGAAATAGCAGTTTACTGGAACTCAGAAGAATTATTGCAGAATGCCAAGTGGTTATGTGGGTAAATCTCAGTTTAACAATGCTTCTCAAAATGTCTCTTGTTGAAGATCAATATGGAGTCACACAGAATGATGTACCAAAGATTTTGGAACTTATGCTGAAATTACAAGATTCTTTAACATTAATAAATAAAATACAACTTTATAAAATGCTGAAAGAAAAAGATGATTTGTTTGTAACATTGACAACTTCTCTAGAAGTAAACATTCGATCTTGCATTTATATTCTGAATCACATCTACAAACCGTACTTTCCTAAAATGCAATTAGAAAATGATATTAAAGAAAAATTGTCTTATTATAACATGTAATTAGATAAGTGTATAATAATTTAAATCAGTCATTAAGTTTAATATATCAGTTTATTTAAATGTAATGTAAAGCATTATGTAAGTATTTAATACTTTTTTTTAACATTGTTATGATTATTTTTAATAATAATACAAATATTCTTTTTAATATACTCTGTTTGGATTTAAAGTTATTTTTCTATATATTCCTATTTCAAGGTATATCACTTATAATCAATAAAAATTATAATTTTTTTAGCACATATAATATGATTCATCATTTCTACTATGTTATTATTACCAATTTATTCAGGAAAGCTTTTTTAGAAAAAAAAATGAAGTGTTATCATTTCATTTATATGCAGATTACTTCTATATGACATTGCAATTTTTTTTAGGTATATATGAAAACTTTTATAATTAATTAATATAAATTTATGTATATTTCCTGAAAAACAAGAAGGAATTTTTAGTCTTTGCATGTTTTTCATCCTGTGTATAGATCTTTTCTTTGTGTATATCTATTTCTGTGAAAATTAATGTTTGAAATTGTACTTATTAATATTAATAACCTCTCAACTATCCATTGTTAATAATTTCTAGGTTGCATGTGAAACATTTTGTTTGGAAGACACCGATACATATCTAGAAGCAACACAAGCTTTAAATACCGATGTGTTATCCCAGGATACTATTAGATTTGTGGAATCTGTCCCAGAAGGATTAATTCCGGCTTTGCGAAGATGCTATAATAAGAAAGTTGTGTCCTGCAAATTATTAAGGCAAACAAATCTTCACAAAAGTGCTGGAGAAGGTAGCACTTTGCTGCTAGAAATTGAAATACCTAAAAACTCTAAAGTAGGTGTTGAAATATTAATTGAATTATGAACTTGTTATTTATCTTGATTATTAAAGCAAGTTTTGCTTGAAACATACCAAATTTCATTAACTTAAGAAAAAAAACATTCAGAAAATTTACTAATAATAAGTGATTTTTTTATGCAAATAAAAATATTTCAGGACGAGTTAAAATATGAGCCTGGTGATCACATAGGTGTTTTTCCTGAAAATAGTTCAGAAATTGTTAATGGTTTATTAGAACGACTTGAAGGTGCTGAATCACCAGACTCACCAGTGGAACTACAGGTTATATCTATAGAAAATTTTTGTGCATGTTATTGTTTATATAATTTGAATCTAATGTTTTTATATTAATAGGTACTAAAAGAAACACAAACACATAATGGTGTTGTACGTTCTTGGTCTGGGCATGAACGACTTCCAAGATGCAGTTTACGAATGCTGCTAACTAGATTTTTAGATTTAACAACTCCTCCCTCACCTGCGATACTTCAGTATTTGTCAAGTTGTTGTACAGAAGAAATAGATAAAGATAAATTAGAATCACTGGCCTCAGTTAGTACAAGAATAACATTAATTTATTTATTTATGTTATATGCAAACAAAAGTGTAGTTTAATATTCTTCATAAAATTTCCATTTTAATTCGAGTCTTAATAGGATTCCGCGGCATATGAAGATTGGAGGCATTTGAAATACCCTCATCTATTAGAAGTGCTAGAACAATTTCCTTCTTGTAGACCTAGTGCTAAAATGCTTTGTGCCCAGCTGAGTCCTCTTCAAGCTCGTTTCTACAGTGTTTCATCAGCTCCTGAACCACATCCTGGCCAGATACATTTAACAGTAGCAGTAGTTCAATACAAGACTCAAAGTGAGCTATATACTTATCTTTTATTTTAGCCCAAGTAAAATATTTACTAGGGCTATATATATATACTCGTATAGCCCTAGTAATTACTAGACATATATATATATATATATATATATATATATATATCTTGAGGATTTTTTGTTCGATGTTGAAACATATTGAAATGAATAAAACAGCCAATGCGTCGAATGTAGAAAATTTATTTTAATTTTTTATACGTTTTGAGACTAGATGTGTCTCATCATAATTTTTCCAATGTATAAATTTAGTTTTTTTAAACTTTTTCTTTATAATGTAAATTTTTTTTGGCTGAATGATGAGACACAACTAGTCTCGAAACGTATAAAAAATTAAAATAAATTTTCTACATTCGACGCATTGACTGTTTTATTCATTTCAATTGTTTCAACATCGAACAAAAAATCCTCAAGATATATATATATATATATATATATATATATATCTATATGACTTAATTTTTTTTATATTGTTTTAGACGGAGAAGGACCACTACATTATGGAGTATGTTCTAATTATTTGAAAAGACTCACTTCAGGAAAAGAAATTGCTATATTTGTTAGAAGGTAGAATTTATTAGTTTTAAGTGGTTAACTAATATCAATGGTTAATAAAGCATAATATAAATCAAGTAAAATATTTTATCTAATTTGATTACTTTTAATTTCAAAATATTTTTTCTACAAATATTTTAGCGCGCCAAGTTTTCATTTGCCAATAGATTCAGGGCGACCCATCGTGTTAATCGGACCAGGAACTGGTGTTGCACCTTTTCGAGGCTTTTGGCATAGTTTACATCATAAATACAAAACTGAAGGCGTTGCAATCCCAAAACTTTGGTTATTTTTTGGATGTAGACAACGCGCCTTAGATTTATATCGAGAAGAAAAAAACTTAATGTTAGAAGAAAAAATAATTGACAGAGAATTCTTAGCACTTAGCCGACAACCTGGACTTAAAAAGGTGATTAAACATGTCTTGCGACTTACTAAATTTATATACATTTACACATGCTATCTGTCATTAGACTTACGTGCAAGACTTAGTATTATCAGTGGCAGATGATATGCGAAGAATTTTAGTACATGAACATGGACATTTATATGTGTGTGGAGATGTTACAATGGCTGAGTGTGTTCATCAAGCTGTTAGAACTGCTTTGACAAAACAGGACTCTATTCCAAAAGAAACCATTGATCGTTTCTTGCTGGATATGCGAGTTAGTATAAACTTAAATTTTTACAAACAAAAACTTTATCATATAATCTTTGTGTATCACAAAATTGATCTCAATGATTTGTGTCAATGCCATACATATATATATATATATATATATATATATATATATATATATATATATATATATTAATTTGGAAATATGAACAAACAACTTTTTTTTTTGCACTAATTTATTAAATAATAATTTTCACAAACGTTTCGAGACTAGGTTTGTCTTATCATCAGTGTGTTATAATTTAAAATTTAAATGTTATCTATTACAAGTCGCTCGATACACTGTCGTCTGCGACTATATGTATATATATACATATAGTCGCAGACTATATATATACATATATATATATATATATATATATATATGTGTGTATATATGTATATATATATATATATATGTTTGTATGTATCTATACTATACTATATTTTCATCCTATCTATATATAGGATGAAAATCGATATCATGAAGACATATTTGGTATCACTCTGCGCACTGCTGAAGTTCATAATAGATCAAGGGCTACAGCAAGAATAAGACTTGAAAAACAAAATTGACTCACTCCATAAGCTGACATTAAATTATGGTGCCACTTGAATCGTTTTATTCTCAAACTAAAAATGAATAATAAATGCTGAATTATTTTAATTTATTCTCTTGATATTAAAAAGCTATTTATGAAATATCCAAAGTTTAAAAATATCTGCTAAATAAAATAATTTTAATAATATTTATCAAGTTCCAAGATTTCACTTTGTACATTTACATATGTGTACACACAATATATCTATATTTATGTATATAATATATATATATATATATATATATATATATATATCTGTGTGTGTGTGCCCTTTTGATTAATTAATTCTTTATTATCATAATGCTTTTTCAAATAAATATTTTATAAAATATATCTCTAAATTTTTACCTAAATATACATTCTGAAAGATATATAAATTAAATTGTTAGTAAGTGATAATTGAAATTGTATTATTGCTATTATAATGTTAAAAAATTATTAGTCTTAGGTCAATAAATAATGCTGAATTATAAGGTTTTTTTCATTAGATTGCATGTGACCTATCATGCCTATGTACAATACAAGATATATATTAAATTGCTCACATATATGTCTTGTTTTATGTTCTACATATATATATATATATATATATATATATATATATATATATATATATATGGCGTTAATGGGCCATTTATTATTAATTAATTATATTTAGAAATGAAACAGTAGCTCAATGTTGTAGACTCGATGATAATGTGAGTTTATTGATAACTCAATTTACAAACGAAACTGATATTATATAAATTTTGATATCAATTTTTAGCCCGAGAATTGATCGATGATTAAAACCGAGAGAACTCATTTTTACGATCGTGAAAACAATAATCTAGCTATAGCTTGCTAGATGCGATATTCGCATCAGCGTAGTTCCAAGTGTGCTATGTAGTTTAGTCATCATATTGGCGTCAATCAACTGACATCTGTCATGAAACATAATTCATTCCGCCATATATATATATATATATATATATATATATATATATATCCGTTCAAGTATTACGTAAGCAAATTTATTACAATTATTTACCTCTCCCTCCCCTTTGTCAGCAAAATTAAGCAAATTTCTTACCCAAAATAAGCAAATCAATAACTTACCCTACGGGAAGTTAAAAAATACACAATGTATTAAACTTGAAAGTATTATTTTAAATTTTCCGGAGAAAAATTAAACTAGTGATGTATGTCATCTTGCCTTAAGACAAATTGGTAATGCTTTCCTTATCGTAACAAAATGTTCGAGGAATATTAAATGTTTTCAAATAGATTATTATAAATACGGTAACATTGCCTAATATTTATAGGAATTATATAAACTGAATTGCAAAGTTCAAATTATTTGTTTAAAGTTTATAAGTGAGAAAATAATTTATTTTCGATATACAAAATAAATTAAATTTTGAAATAAAAAAAATCCAAAAGCAATTGTTTCGTCAACACAAGCAAAAAGTTTTTCGATTTCTTCAAATCAGATGTTTAGTTCTATCAAAAACTGCCATTAGTAGCTCAGTATCTTCAAAATGGCCGGACCTGCCTCTGTCAAAAACTAATCACTTTTCCCAATCATTACAAATTAAATGCTTTTTATATCGTTCGATTCGGATGCTCCGTTCTCTCAAAAACTCCATTTACATTCTCTGCACCGTAATGGCTGGATCTGCCTTTGTCAAAAACTAATCAACACGTCTTTCTATCAATAGGAATCGAATGTTTTTTTAACCATTCAAATCGGTTGATCCGTGCGCCCTACTACTAGTAGTAGTCGTACCTACTACTGAAAAGCTATATAGAATTTATCCTAATATCAACTTTCCTCTGATTATTAGTTATCATCAAACATAATTATTAGAATAAGACCTAAAATAAAATCATTAATTGTTATATGTGTTAAATTCAATAGGTGATAAAATGGCTGCAATTCTTCGAAGAAAGACTTCAAATGGAGATGCTCTAGTTTCTCACTGGGCTGTGCTTTATGCTACAATGGCAGCTATATTAAAGTTAAAATTTTATATTTAATATTATCTAATATATATGAACTCAAACTTATGTACGATACTAAGTTTTCTTTTGTCTATAAATAAATAACAGTTTTTTTACACACGATTATTTTTTATAATTAATATATAATAGATATAAGTTAATTCAAATAGTTTTAAGAAATATATTTGTGTAAATAGTACATTTATGAAATTAGAAAAATTGATGATAAATGTATCGTAATGGTAAAGTATTTGGAAATGGGATCATATAGATCATGGTATTATTTATAATAACATTTTTATGAAATGTTCAAATATATCTACCCACGGATTTTTACGCCACACAAACAACCTTATACACGATGAAATATTAGTCATTCTGCCAGTTATTATTAAACATAACGAGATGGCGCCAAACATAAATGCATTCGGCATTGATGCATACCGCACGCTTCGAAAGTAACTAACAGCTATTTATTTGCGCTTTCTCAACACAATATATATTTACCATAGACTCAGCTTCACAAAACATATTAATACAAAAATTGGACAGGCTTACGGGATGTTAAATCTACTGAGACCTCTCTTGAACCCCAACAAGCGTGAAGAACAAGCGGACACTTCACCTGACACTAATAAGACCGTTACTGACATACGCCGCTCCGGCATGGAACGCTTATGGAACTTACGGAAACTACAGACATTACAAAATAAGACACTACGACCCGTACTCAACAAAATAAGGGACCCACTGACTAGGCATTACTACTCTTCAAAATACACACACAAACAGACTGACGTACCGACAATACTCGACTATATAAAAAAGCTCACCGAAAATGTTTATATAAAATGCGGGGATCATCCTAATACTAACATCGCGGGCCTCGGCCAATACACTAGGCACTAGAGACTTGATTTGGTAATCACGCCATGCCAAACTATATACTGATCGACCCATAGCGGCAAATGATACTTGGCTCGACACAGATCTTCCTTCAGTGCGAATAAATCTTTTATTTTGTTTTTCTTTTTTATTTTTGTAATTAACTATTATTATAAATATTGCCTTGTGGATTTTTTGTGAGGAAAAATTTTCTTTCCTCTTTTTTGCCACACAATTTGTCACACAGCTCGCTGTACTCACAATCAATACTCACTGTATATATTAAAATCAATTATGTTGTATAAAGTACCCAAGGGTAGAAAAATATGTGTTAAAAATAACAATGCAAAATGTAGCTCAATTATTGAAATAAATACTTTTGTCTGTCTGTCTGTCTGTCAATATATATTTATATGTTCTATTTAGATATAACAAACTAACAGGTCATATGGCCAAAGAAAAGTTGGAATGGTATGGCCTGTGTTAGCGATATTGGTAGAGTCATGGCTTCGTACCAACAGGGTAGCGAGTTCGAATCATATCTCCAGCTAAAAAACGGAGTTCAGCAGTGTACGATTAACATTGTGGTATTTATTTATTGTTGAATAACACAGTTAATATTTAGATATAACAAACTAACCGGTCATATGGCCAAAAAAAAGTTGCAAAGCCATGGCCTGTGTTGGCGTTATTGGTAGAGTTATGGCTTCGTATCAACAGGGTACCGAGTTCGAATCTTACCTCCAGCTGTTAAGCGGAATTCAGCAGTGAGCCTAACGTTGTGGTATTTATTTATTGGTGAATAACACAAAGTCAATATTTAGGTATAACAAACTAACAAGTTATGAGGCCGAAAAAAAGTATAATCCATGCGGCCTGTGTTGGCGTAATTGGTAGCACGATGGCTTCATACCCACAGGGTACCGAGTTCGAATCTTACCTCCAGCTGTTAAACGAAATATCACGTTGTGGTATTTATTTATTGTTGAATAACACAAAGTTAATATTTAGATATAACAAACTAACAAGTTATGAGGCCGAAAAAAGCATAATCCGTGTGGCCTCCGTTGGCGTAATTGGTAGCACGATGGCTTCATACCCACAGGGTACCGAGTTCGATTCATACCTCCGGACACAAAATTGTGGACGAGGCATGCACGGAATCACATCCGCTCGAATTTAGGACACCTGGTATGTTTCCGATAATCCGAACCTCCGATTATCCGGACTTCCGATAATCCGGACCTTTGATGATGCGGACTTCCGATAATCCGGATTTCCGATGATCTGGACTTCCGATAATCCGGACCTTTGATGTTGCGGACCTCCGATTATCCGGACTTTCGATAATCCGGATTTCCTATAATCTGGACTTCCGATAATCCGGACCTTTGATGTTCCGGACTTCCGATAATCCGGACCTTTGATGTTGTGGGTTTCCGATAATCCGGATTTCCGATAATCTGGACTTTCGATAATCCGGATTTCCGATAATCTGGACTTCCGATAATCCGGACCTTTGATGTTCCGGACTTCCGATAATCCGGACCTTTGATGTTGCGGACCTCCGATTATCCGGATTTCCGATAATCCGGACTTTCGATAATCCGGACTTGCGATAATCCGGACCTTTGATGTTCCGGACTTTCGATAATCCGGACCTTTGATGATGCGGATTTCCGATAATCCGGATTTCCGATAATCTGGACTTCCGATAATCTGGACTTCCGATAATCCGGACCTTTGATGATGCGGACTTCCTATAATCCGGACTTCCGATAATCCGGATTTCCGATAATCTGGACTTCCGATAATCCGGACCTTTGATGTTCCGGACTTCCGATAATCCGGTCTTCCGATAATCCGGACCTTTGATGTTCCGGACTTCCGATAATCCGGACTTCCGATTATCCGGTTACATAGCAACGGTTGCTAGGCCGTTGCGTAATTTTTGGTCGAAAAAATTAGCGGTTAACGGTTGCTAGGCAACGGTTGTGAACATTTTTTTTTAAATTTCAAAAAAAAATGTTCGCAACCGTTGCCTAGCAACTCCGGACTTCCGATTATCCGGTTACATAGCAACGGTTGCTAGGCCGTTGCGTAATTTTTGGTCGAAAAAATTAGCGGTTAACGGTTGCTAGGCAACGGTTGTGAACATTTTTTTTTAAATTTAAAAAAAAAAGTTCGCAACCGTTGCCTAGCAACCGTTTTTTTAATTTAAAAAAAAATGTTCGCAACCGTTGCCTAGCAACCGTTAACCGCTAATTTTTTCGCGGTTCTAAATTAGCGGTTAACGGTTGCTAGGCAACGGTTTTGAACCTTTTTTTTAAATTTAAAAAAAAAAGTTCGCGACCGTTGCCTAGCAACCGTTTTTTTTAATTTAAAAAAATGTTCGCAACCGTTGCCTAGCAACCGTTAACCGCTAATTTAGAACCGCGAAAAAATTAGCGGTTAACGGTTGCTAGGCAACGGTTGCGAACATTTTTTTTTAAATTAAAAAAACGGTTGCTAGGCAACGGTTGCGAACTTTTTTTTTAAATTTAAAAAAAAGGTTCAAACCGTTGCCTAGCAACCGTTATTTTTAAAAGCAAATTTAAAAAAAAAGTTCGCAACAGTTGCCTAGCAACCGTTTTTTTTAATTTAAAAAAAAAAGTTCGCAACCGTTGCCTAGCAACCGTTTTTTTTAATTTAAAAAAAATGTTCGCAACCGTTGCCTAGCAACCGTTAACCGCTAATTTAGAACCGCGAAAAAATTAGCTGTTAACGGTTGCTAGGCAACGGTTGCGAACATTTTTTTTAAATTAAAAAAACGATTGCTAGGCAACGGTTGCGAACTTTTTTTTTTAAATTTAAAAACGACCAAAAATTACGCAACGGCCTAGCAACCGTTGCTATGTAACCGGATAATCGGAAGTCCGGAGTTGCTAGGCAACGGTTGCAAACATTTTTTTTGAAATTTAAAAAAAATGTTCACAACCGTTGCCTAGCAACCGTTAACCGCTAATTTTTTCGACCAAAAATTACGCAACGGCCTAGCAACCGTTGCTATGTAACCGGATAATCGGAAGTCCGGATTATCGGAAGTCCGGAACATCAAAGGTCCGGATTATCGGAAGTCTGGATTATCGGAAGTCCGGAACATCAAAGGTCCGGATTATCGGAAGTCCAGATTATCGGAAATCCGGATTATCGGAAGTCCGGATTATAGGAAGTCGGCATCATCATAGGTCCGGATTATCGGAAATCCGCATCATCAAAGGTCCGGATTATCGAAAGTCCGGAACATCAAAGGTCCGGATTATCGCAAGTCCGGATTATCGAAAGTCCGGATTATCGGAAATCCGGATAATCGGAGGTCCGCAACATCAAAGGTACGGATTATCGAAAGTCCAGATTATCGGAAATCCGGATTATCGGAAACCCACAACATCAAAGGTCCGGATTATCGGAAGTCCGGAACATCAAAGGTCCGGATTATCGGAAGTCCAGATTATAGGAAATCCGGATTATCGAAAGTCCGGATAATCGGAGGTCCGCAACATCAAAGGTCCGGATTATCGGAAGTCCAGATCATCGGAAATCCGGATTATCGGAAGTCCGGATTATCGAAAGTCCGCATCATCAAAGGTCCGGATTATCGGAAGTCCAGATAATCGGAGGTTCGGATTACCGGAAACATACCAGGTGTCCTAAATTCGAGCGGATGTGATTCCGTGCATGCCTCGTCCACAATTTTGTGTCCGGAGGTATGAATCGAACTCGGTACCCTGTGGGTATGAAGCCATCGTGCTACCAATTACGCCAACGGAGGCCACACGGATTATGCTTTTTTCGGCCTCATAACTTGTTAGTTTGTTATATCTAAATATTAACTTTGTGTTATTCAACAATAAATAAATACCACAACGTGATATTTCGTTTAACAGCTGGAGGTAAGATTCGAACTCGGTACCCTGTGGGTATGAAGCCATCGTGCTACCAATTACGCCAACACAGGCCGCATGGATTATACTTTTTTTCGGCCTCATAACTTGTTAGTTTGTTATACCTAAATATTGACTTTGTGTTATTCACCAATAAATAAATACCACAACGTTAGGCTCACTGCTGAATTCCGCTTAACAGCTGGAGGTAAGATTCGAACTCGGTACCCTGTTGATACGAAGCCATAACTCTACCAATAACGCCAACACAGGCCATGGCTTTGCAACTTTTTTTGGCCATATGACCGGTTAGTTTGTTATATCTAAATATTAACTGTGTTATTCAACAATAAATAAATACCACAATGTTAATCGTACACTGCTGAACTCCGTTTTTTAGCTGGAGATATGATTCGAACTCGCTACCCTGTTGGTACGAAGCCATGACTCTACCAATATCGCTAACACAGGCCATACCATTCCAACTTTTCTTTGGCCATATGACCTGTTAGTTTGTTATATCTAAATAGAACATATAAATATATATTGACAGACAGACAGACAGACAAAAGTATTTATTTCAATAATTGAGCTACATTTTGCATTGTTATTTTTAACACATATTTTTCTACCCTTGGGTACTTTATACAACATAATTGATTTTAATATATACAGTGAGTATTGATTGTGAGTACAGCGAGCTGTGTGACAAATTGTGTGGCAAAAAAGAGGAAAGAAAATTTTTCCTCACAAAAAATCCACAAAGCAATATTTATAATAATAGTTAATTACAAAAATAAAAAAGAAAAACAAAATAAAAGATTTATTGCACTGAAGGAAGATCTGTGTCGAGCCAAGTATCAATTGCCGCTATGGGTCGATCAGTATATATTTTGGCATGGCGTGATTGCCATACCAAATATCGTCTCTTGTGTATTGGCCGAGGCCCGCGATGTTAACATTAGGATGATCCCCACATTTTAGATAAAAATTTTCCGTGAGCTTTTTTATATAGTCTAGTATGGTCGGTACGTCAGTCTGTTTGTGTATGTATTTTGAAGAGTAGTAATGTCTAGTTAGTGGGTTCCTTATTTTGTTAAGTACCAGTCGTAGTGTCTTGTTTTGTAATGTCTGTAGTTTCCGTAAGTTAGTCTTAGTCGTCGCGTTCCATGCCGGAGCGGCGTATGTCAGTAACGGTCTTATAAGTATCAAGTAAAGTGTCCGCTTGTTCTTCACGCTTAGCGGGCCGTTGTGGTTCAAGAGAGGTCTCAGTAGATTTAACATCCCGTAAGCTTGTCCAATTTTCGTATTAATATGTTTTGTGAAGCTGAGTCTATGGTAAATATATATTGTGTTGAGAAAGCGCAAATAAATAGCTGTTAGTTACTTTCGAAGCGTGCGGTATGCATCAATGCCGAATGCATTTATGTTTGGCGCCATCTCGTTATGTTTAATAATAACTGGCAGAATGACTAATATTTCATCGTGTATAAGGTTGTTTGTGTGGCGTAAAAATCCGTGGGTAGATATATTTGAACATTTCATAAAAATGTTATTATAAATAATACCATGATCTATATGATCCCATTTCGAAATACTTTACCATTCATAAATGTACTATTTACACAAATATATTTCTTAAAACTATTTAAATTAACTTATATCTATTATATATTAATTATAAAAAATAATCGTGTGTAAAAAAAACTGTTATTTATTTATAGACAAAAGAAAACTTAGTATCGTACATAAGTTTGAGTTCATATATATTAGATAATATTAAATATAAAATTTTAACTTTAATATAGCTGCCATTGTAGCATAAAGCACAGCCCAGTGAGAAACTAGAGCATCTCCATTTGAAGTCTTTCTTCGAAGAATTGCAGCCATTTTATCACCTATTGAATTTAACACATATAACAATTAATGATTTTATTTTAGGTCTTATTCTAATAATTATGTTTGATGATAACTAATAATCAGAGGAAAGTTGATATTAGGATAAATTCTATATAGCTTTTTAGTAGTAGGTACGACTACTACTAGTAGTAGGGCGCACGGATCAACCGATTTGAATGGTTAAAAAAACATTCGATTCCTATTGATAGGGAGACGTGTTGATTAGTTTTTGACAAAGGCAGATCCAGCCATTACGGTGCAGAGAATGTAAATGGAGTTTTTGAGAGAACGGAGCATCCGAATCGAACGATATAAAAATCATTTAATTTGTAATGATTGGGAAAAGTGATTAGTTTTTGACAGAGGCAGGTCCGGCCATTTTAAAGATATTGAGCTACTAATGGCAGTTTTTGATAGAACTAAACATCTGATTTGAAGAAATCGAAAAACTTTTTGCTTGTGTTGACGAAACAATTGCTTTTGGATTTTTTTTATTTCAAAATTTAATTTATTTTGTATATCGAAAATAAATTATTTTCTCACTTATAAACTTTAAACAGATAATTTGAACTTTGCAATTCAGTTTATATAATTCCTATAAATATTAGGCAATGTTACCGTATTTATAATAATCTATTTGAAAACATTTAATATTCCTCGAACATTTTGTTACGATGAGGAAAGCATTACCAATTTGTCTTAAGGCAAGATGACATACATCACTAGTTTAATTTTTCTCCGGAAAATTTAAAATGATACTTTCAAGTTTAATACATTGTGTATTTTTTAACTTCCCGTAGGGTAAGTTATCGTAATGGGCCGAAAATCAAAATTAAAAATTTTTACATTTCTCGACGTTTTGAAGGTTTCTGAACATTTTGGCATACCTCAGAAAAAATGGTTGTTGTGTGTTTATTTATGTATAGATACAATTTTTCGTCTACGTTTTCGGGCGCACGGATCAACCGATTTGAATGGTTCAAACAACATTCGATTCCTATTGATAGGGAGATGTGCTGATTAGTTTTTGGCAAAGGCAGGTCCAGCCCTTACGAAGATACGGAGCAATGAGTGCAGAAAATATAAATCGAGTTTTTGAGTGAACGGAGCATCCGATTTGAATGATCTAAAAAACATTCAATTAATAATGATTGGGAAAAGTGATTATTAGTTTTTGGCAATGGCAGTCCCAGCCATTTCGAAGATACAGAGCTAAATGTGCAAAAAATGGCATTTTTTTAGAGAACTAAACGCCCAATTTAAATGATTCAAAGAATTTTCAGCTTGTTTTAACAAAATAATTGACTTTGGAAAAAAAATTGTATAATTTTTTTTTTTTTTAGTTTTTTTTTGTATATTAAAAATAATTCAGATTTTATTTTTAATTCTGACTAAAGTTCCAATATACTTTAAACAAATAATTTTAACTTTTCAATTCAGTTTATATAATTCTTATAAATATTAGACAATGTTAGAATATTTATAATAATCTATTTGAAAACATTCAGTATTCCTCGAACATTTCGTTAAGTACGGGTAGTTCCAGCAATTTGCCTTAAGGCACGATGCCATGCGCCCCACTAGTTTAGAATTTTTTATTACCTTCTGAAACAAAGACCATAATGCTAGCAGGCTCTGTGTTACTGGCAGCGCATGTATAGTTGCCTGAATCGGCGTCCACAGTATCTCTTATTGTTAGACGAGACTGAGTTCTCGGACCAGGATCAGTCTCCACCGTAATACCTCCTCGGGAAGTATCGTAGTTGATCATTCGCTGATTATGGCACCAGAACACATATTGAGGTGGTGTGGGACTCTACGATTACACATCAATAATATAAACAATTTATAAAACACACTGTAATTTTTAATCCTATAATTTTTTTGGGTATGAAGTTAATGAAGGATATATAAATGCTCCCTATAAACATTAAATACAATGAACGTCATTTACATATAATTTGTATATGTAAATTATAACATTCATTATAACAAGTTAAGAATTATAACATTCTAGATCCTCCCCCCACAAAGTAATGCCTAACGGCGGTTTCCGTGGGAACCAGAGGCAAGAGCAAAGCGGAGGTTTTAGTCGGTATTATACCAGAGCGGTATTGAGTCCGACATACCCAGACAAAAAAACAGTCTGGGATGCATAAAGGCATTTCCTTCGCTATACAGAAAAAAAACATATAATTTGATATAAAAAAAATATAATTGAGTTTTTTCAAAACGAAAAATCTTAATCCTTGTACGTTAACATGATATCTTTTAAAATATTTTGACATTTAAAGTGATTTTTATCTTTTTGTTGTTCAAATTTGGATTCGAAACTTAAATATATATATATATATATATATATATATATATATTTTATATACATATATATGTGTATATATATGTATATATACATGTATATATATATGTATATGTATATATATGTATATATATATATATAAATATATATATGTGATGATAGTTTTGTCGATGTTGATACATATCTTATATATAAAAATGTAGCTCTCGATTAAATGATTAGGTAAAACTCGAAAACGACTAATCCGATTTGACGATTCTTAGTCTTGAAAATTTCGTGCCAATCCAGAGATGGCCAGAAAGGTGAAATAATATTTCAAAATCGCGTAGAAACTTTACATTTTTAGTTTGAAATTTTTTGTAGAATTGTAATTTAAATTAAACAATGGACGGTGGTTAATACGTGAAATGTCAAACGCTTTTGACAGATGATGTTCAATTACGTTTAATAGAATGTTTTACGTGAATATTATTTAATTATGATTGAATTGTGGTAAGTAGATTTGTTTGTAGTTTTATTAATATACAAAAACATTAGTAAACGGGCCGCAAGTGTTACTAGAGACTCAAAATATCAACTTTTTTGAAATGTCAAAATATGAAAATGCACTTTTTGCATATTTTTCTCATTCACGGTGCTCTGGAAGATCTCATTTGTATAATTATATACTCATTGGTATTTATAAAACATTTTCTAGGTTATATTATATTTTATTTATAATATTTAAATTCAGAACCTAAATTTGGTATCGATCAAATAGACATTTTGTTAAAAATTTGCGTTCAGCTCTCCGTCTAAATTCGGTTTTTCACTCATGCAAACTTGTTTAAAAAAATCTTTAAAAATGTCTTTGTGAAAGTTTCAAAAACGGTTTTTGCTTGAATGCTTTCATAATTATACAAAAAATAACTATTAAATCTTTGTATAATATTAATAATATCTTTAATTTGATAGCAATTTATTCTTTACTTTATCGAGTCTAGTTTACAATTTTTACAATGAATTAAATTTAAATCAAATTTAATAAATCTATATAGCTTTTTGTCTTTTATCATGATTCGAATTGATTACAAAACATTCGGATCAGCACATCACTAATTTTAATGTATTAGAAATGAAAAAAAGATATGATGTATAATTAATGAATTAATAGAGTTAATACAAGTTTGACTACAGAACACTTTTTTATTTAAAAAAACACGATTAATCAATATGTTGAGCATTCTCTTAAAAAATTGATCAAAATCTAGTTTTAAAAAATCGAAATCAGGTGGGACGCACTTCGACGTCACTTGTAAAAGATTGATTAATATTTTAATATAGTTAAGGTTTGAAGATTAACAAAATTATTTCATTAGCTCAACATATCAATTAAACAAAGTGAAATTGATTATAAATATTGATCAAAACAAAAAAAAAGGAATAAATAACACAATAAAAAGCTTCTTCTACGATTAATTCAATTTGATTCGATTCAAAATATATGAGGCCTCAACATTATCTGCCTTCTAACATAGCGTTGTCATAGCAACGTTATCTTATACTTTTTTATTGGTAGTGAAAATGTCTATCTATTTGCTGTGCGATCAGGCGTAGTTTACATATAAACAATTAATTAAGGAACTAGTGGGGCGCATGGCATCGTGTTTTAAGGCAAATTGCTGAAACTTCCCGTACCGTAATAGAATATTCGAGAAATATTGAATGTTTTTATATAGATTATTATAAATACTGTAACTTAATTAAGTTTACAGATCAGTAAATAAACAAAATTTAATCAATTGAATTTAAAATGAAGGACTATTTCTATTATTTATAAGAATTATATAAACTGAAGTTAAAATTATTTATTTGAAAGATATAAGTGAGAACTTTAGCGTGATTTTAAATAAAATCAGATGTTTTCGATATGCAAAAAAAATTTAAGGGTGTTGTTTTTCTTTTGTTACAAAAAATGCAAGTTATTTGTTTTTGTTTTTCTCGAAATGTATTTATCATAGAGACATGCGTTTTTTTTTTAAAACAAAAATTACAATATCATAGAATATTACGTGATTTTCTTCTTTTTTTTTGCGCCGTCATTTTTAAACCAGGGAGCGCCAAAGTCGGTCTTGCAAAATCGATCTCTTTTGCGTGCCACAGATAAATCCGTTGCGCATCGCCCGAAACAAAAAAAAATGAACTACGTTGAAGAAAGAAGTTTGAATCCATCCCCCTACCAAAATGAAAGAAAAAAAAGAAAGGAAAAAAATGGCAGCTATTTAAAAAAAAAGTGTCAAAAAAGGCCTTTTTTTGGGGCGAGAAGCTTCGCAAAATTTTTTTGCGTAATGTTATCAAGTTGTTTGAGGTAGGGGGACTAGGTATTACAGTAGTGAACAATTAAAAAAAAATGCAAGTCGATCCGACTTGTAGTTTTTTTTTTAATTTGTGGCACCGCATTGAAAAAAGTCAATTGTGAAAAACGTATTTAAAGTTTTTAATATAATGTACTAAATACACCATGGTGTTCAAAGATGCTGACACATTAGAAAGGTCATGTGCATGAGGTATTATAATGAAAAAGAGGCAGCTGGCATACAATAGCTCGCGGAGCGATAAAAAACGCTTTCAGAGGATCATACATATAGAGATATATATATCTATAACTTCGTCAAAAAATAGATATTTAGATGTTTTTTTTTTTTTTAATAATTCTAAGGTTTTTAGCTTTCATAATATCAAAAAATCTCAAAACCGAAATAAAGAAAAATAAAAAAAGAACAACCCCCTTAAATTAAAAAAAAGTTTAAAAAAATCCTTTTCCAAAAGTAATCGTCTCCTCAACACAAACAGAAAGTTTTTTGAATCATTCAAATCGGATGCTTAGTTCTCTCAAAAACTGCAATATTTTGCACATTTAACTCGGTATCTCCGAAACGGCTGGACCTGCCTTTGCAAAAACTAATCATCACATATCCCTATCAATAGGAATCGAATGTTTTTATGAACAATTCAAATCGGTTGATCCGTGCGCCCGAAAACATGGACGAAAAATTGTATCCATACATACACACACACAGATCAATTTTTTTCTGAAGTTTTTTTGACGATTATAATAACTACCCTACGGGAGTTAATAAAGAAAATTGACTTCAAAATGAAAAAAGGTATGTGGTTTGAACACCCTTATTAAAAATAAACTGTTTTTTAAGTATCATTAAAACATTTTCGTACAATCAATTATTTAATTTAAAATTTCTCAAAATCACAATTTTTTTAAAGTTAAAACATATCTAATATTTTTTAAAAGTTTAATTTTGGTACGGAAGTTGCAGCAATTTACACCACTAGTTTATATTTAAAATACGCCTTATCGTACAGCAAATTAATAGACATTTTCACAGTTTTCACTACCAATGAACAAGCATTGCCATGACATCGCTATGTTATGAGGCAGAATTGCCCCAATAATGATTGAAAAGTAAGTTTTATAATATAAAAAACTAAAGGAATATATATTATATATATATATATATATATAATAGCTGGCCCGGCAAACGTTGTTTTACCATAAAAAAATTTTGGTATAAAAACTAACTAATTAACTTGTAGGAAAATATGTAGTGGTATATCAATAAAATTTTATTGATTATATATTTTTCAATTTTTCAAAAGTTAAATTTTCAAAGAGATAAAGCTGGGCAACTCTTGATTAAAATTGAATTCTTTTTTAAAGTAAAAAACTAAATTTATGTCAAATTGTTATAACATAACTTTCGACAAAACTTGGAAAATGAATAGAATGCTTTTACTGTATATATTCAGCAAATTTTCAAAATAAAATGATTTTATTACTTTACTATAATTGTGTATTGTAATTTTTTACCCCTTTATGAAGCAATTTTTTTATAATGTATACATTACAAGTTTTAACGTTATAATTAACGTTAAATATTTTCATCAACATTTATAACCATTAAAATATAAACAACATTTATAACCATAAATATAAAAAATGCATGCATTGTATATGGTCATGAGGAAAACGTTTGACTGTAGATGCAGAAATAATTTCAATTTTTAATACAATTACATATTTCCTTTAATAAATTTAAAAACAAAGTATTTCCTTTATCAATAACGATAGAATGTAGTAATTCCTTAAACAAATATAAAATTGGATCAAACTTTTTCTCAAGATTAAAAACTTTCAAGTAGTTCTCGAGTAACACTTGCAAATTTAATAATTAAACAGCTTTTAATATTTTTAATTTTGAAGTAAAACTTCTTTAGGCACGACTAGGGGTAATCCGTACAAATGCAACGGAAAAAGCGTTACGGCCGAGTCGAGTGCCAATGATCAATTATCATTCATGTATGTATGTTAATTTTAATTACATTTAGTTCTTCAAACACATTACATGATAAGTAAAATTGTGAAAACAATATTTATTTAGGCGTTGTTTAACATAATTCACTGTGTGAAGGAATATTATAGAAATTTATTAATCAGCAATTAC